ATTCCTAATTCTCATACTGAATCAAGAAATACTTCATATATCACACGATTCAGTTACAAAAATCTATTTTTCATTTGCGCCCTAACACAAAGTTGACGCAAATTCATGGATCAAACCTGATACAATAGATTGACATGATGCCATCACTGAGCATTTAACTGAAAGTAACAGTGTCTCACTCTTCTACAAAATTCTGCTTAATATATTCTTTGAAGACATAAATAAAATTACAGAATGCTTATTCTTTAAAAAACATTGAGTTAATAACTAATTTACTTACCTACAGTCAACAGGAAGGTGCCGCGCACTCTTTTGGATGGTGGGACGACTACACGACCACGTTGCTCCCCGGTGACGGTGGCAAGGCTATGTGTCCCTATACTCAAATGTTTTCTACTGTTACACTGAATAACCCCTAGAAGTTTGATCCCTTAGTTCTGAAACACCCTGTATAATGTTTAAAGGACCGAAACAAAAAAATAAAATCAATTTTTCAATTTCTGATCAACGTAGCCTCCGCAACTTTTCGGTATGTTAAATAACACTACTTCAATGACCTGAATCGAAATTTATATCCATATTAGAATTTTGTGAGGTTTCGGGAATCTCTTACCGGGACTTAAATTGATTTGGGATCGTGTCACTTACAGGAAAGAAAATACCAGCTTAGGTCATTATGGGTATTTCTAGATGACTGTAGCGAAGTTCGGTGATTGAATTTGAACATGTGTCATGTTTTTTATCTACCAGATTATGTATAGCTGCGCTACGAACATTCAACATTTTTAACACTGCAATTATGAGTGCGTTTTACGTTACATGGGTGTAAGAAAATGTTAAGAAACATTCGTACTTAGTACATCTTGAATTGTGTTCACCTATGCACAAAAGCTGATATCATTAGACTCATAACTAATTTTTAGTTAAATATTCGATAAATAAGGGAATAAATTTGTAGAGGACATAAATGAAAAACGACAAAGAGCATCCTTGTAATTTATTTCCTCTTCATCAAAGGCATCTAATACACGAGAATTAAAAATATCATTCAATCTTATTAATAATGCATGTAACAGATTCATTTGTTGATGGGATTGATGGAACGTATGTGAAATATCTATGAGAAAATAAGCGCACGTATATTCTTCTTATAGAGGACATTGCACATACCAAATGACGGGTAAAGGTGGTACAGTCATCATTGTGAATTTTGATATCATGATCAATTGCTTTTATGATTATCAATGATTTCAACGGTACAGTTTTGGTATGGTAATAGAGAAAACAGTTGGGAAGGAAGAAAGTCGGGAGGAACATATACAATGCTTTTAGAAAAGCCCGCCTATGTAATTTGAGAACGGGTCAAGTTTGCCAGTTAAAATTCCGCGCAATGAAATCGATACATGAATACTATATTTCAGCATAAAAGTGGCAGTTCAAAACTTTAAAATAGCGGCTAGTTGCAATTTTGGAACGTATTTTCAAACGTAATGGTTGGGTGATATTCATTCTACAGCTTCTTATCAGTGCTTTATAACTCCAGAATATAAAATCACTATATTTTGCAAAATACAGCACATTCCATTTGAAAAACTGTATTTTTTTAACTTAATATTCCATATTTTATAATATATTCACTCAATACAATCTACATTCTTACGAAGTAAGAAGTTGATGTTCAACAGAGGCAACATGACCGCTTTGGGTTACATCCAGGAAATGAGGAAACCACACCCAACTAGCAAAGTAGTACTATAAGCTTTTGGTAAAAGAACCATTCAGCCATAAAAGCTCTCTATTGTTGTTGCCTGAACACCAAAATGCTGGCTTAATGTTGTGTGGAATGCAAATTTGCTTTCTGCAACATATTTGCTCTAAAATGAGGTGTTCAAAATATTCTTTAGCATAGTTATACAACACCTTATAGGACAAATTTTTAACTGTTGCATAAACGTTTATACAACTATTTTATACGGCATATTTGCACGTTAGTCAAAATGGTTGTGTTATGGCATCCATGGTAACGTTTATAAAACAAACAAGGGACTTGTTGTTTTGCTGTGCATATTACTACTTTAGCCAACAAGTTGCTCCCAACGGAAGCACTTATACAACTGTAGATTAGTAACTGTAAAAGGCTGTATATATGCTAAATATGTTGGTATACAACTTCACCATAACCTAACTTTCTGCTGTCATATTTTTGTTAAAATGCCATAACCAATGTTTTTAGACAAACAAAGCATGCATACTGGTTAAAAAGGTTTTATCAATTGTTCAAACAGAAGATATAGATCTGGTACAAATTCTAGGTAAATCATTCGACTCTGTCGGTATTTCATTTTTGACATTTCTCAAATTGTTGTATAACACCTACAGGCAACACCAAAATATTCTAATAAACTAAAGACAACATGGACGATGCCATGATTATACACAACCACCCGCCATATTGGGCAAACATTTATTCCTCTATTTGATATTAAATAATTATGTTTCAGTTCGAAATTACAGATATAAAGTGATAAACATTAGTGTAATTGTGTCTAAATATAGGATTTGTGGAAGATTTAACGCAGATAAGTTCAGTTTTCCATCTCAAAAATCTAGACATACTTTTGATTATTATCAAAATATGAATCAAATACGAAGCCCATAGAAATTGCGTAACTACTTTGCACGATAATCACAATAAAATTTGCTGCGCAAGTAATTCAATTGCCCTATATCACAGTGTAGAAGTTTATCATATACCTGTGTATGAAATTCACAATGGCCGATATGTAAGTAAACAAGATGACTGTATTGTGTTAGTTATATATTCTTCACTTCGTCTATTCAATACATAAGAAATAGTTTGGTTGCAATAAAGTAGAATCACGTAACAGAATAGTTGTATAGTTGACAAAAACTGAATCAAGCACTGACGCAAATGTCCTATAGCGGCTGCAAGAGGCTTACACTTTTGTTGTATAACTGTTACCTGCAGCCCTTATACAACCTCTTAAATGACTGAAGTGTCTTATTAGGTGTGCCCATTCCGCTTGTATAGCCGTTCTAAGAGGGTTTTGCCAATGTTTTTACAGTATACAATGCTGTGTAAGGAATACTGTATAATCATTCTTGCAACTCTAATAGGAGTGATAATTGTTAGTTGGGCATATTTTACCTTATATACGGAAGCTCACCGACCCACTTTTCCAACAAGATAATGGGCTACCACATAAAGCCAGAATGATGTTGGTCTATTTTGAAGACAAACAAGTCAACTATTCTCAGAACAGAAAAACTTGAGACCTAGTTCATCACGGCGCTCATACATAGCGCTCCGATAACTCAACAGTTTCTTAGGGAATCCAGGTTGGATCATCCACAGCAAAGTTATAGCCACGACTTGGTGCCATGCGATTTGGGTTTTTTCTGTTTGCGAGGGGCGTAGATTTGCATCCAAAGATGAGCTGAAGGCGTTGTGGGACCATTTAGAATTAGCAATCGGAGTTCCGCAGCAGTGGCGAAGCGTCCATGTAACCATTGTTACCATTGGTAACAGTTAAAAATCTTAAAAATAAATATTTTGTGACTATTATGTGGGCTAGTTAATATTTTTTGATTTGGTTACTCACTTCTCACTCGTCAGTAGCCGTTTTGGTTACCGGATGTAGTGTGCGTGCAATTAAAGATGGATGAGTGTCGCTGCGTAATCATTCAAATACTTGAAAAGTCATTCTACTTTTTTATTTTTTAAGAAAAAAAGGAGATCTTTGAAAATGGAAGTCCAACACCTATTTTAGATAATTTTAAAAAGGCATAAAAAACGTAGTTTGATATTTTAAATTAAGTTGGTATATGGAAACTCTTGGTTATGTGGTTGCAAAAAAACAGATTGTATTGTTGGCGATGTCTTCTGTTTTATACAGAAAAAAATAGGTGGACCAGCAGCGGAGTCAACGATTTAAATAGTTTTAGGCCTCTAATGAAATTTTTCCGTTACATGTGAGATGTGTAGCTAATTTAATTCAGTTTGGAAAAGTAAGAATCGAAAATTATCTTAACCAAGCTTTTAGGCAGCACACTTCTAGATACCGTATGTTTTTTGGCAAAACAGGAATTACCGTTCATTTTGAAGAGGACGACTTTGACAATAGAGGAAATTACAGTTAATTGTTAACATTCATTGCCAAAAAAGATCAAAAATTTTCCGAACATCTAGAAACGTCGACTGTTTTTTTCGGACGGCTTGGATTAGCATAAGACGATAGGGTATATCAAGTGCCCCAGACGCTCAGTCCAGGAAGGTTTACCTTAATTAAAAAATAGTTTAAATAAAATACCTAAAATAAGCAAAAGCTTATATTTGGGAGGTCCAAAATAAACCTTTTTTGGTAACAGTTTAGGAAAAGTCACGCGTCGTCACTGTTCCGCAGAGTTATCACGTAAAAAACGTATCTATATGATGTCAAAAAAATGACAAAATGCCAACTCGCTGACTAGATACGAGTAGTTCCTAGTTTGTAACTATTTCATTCCGCGTTTTCTCACTATGAGCACTGTAGACGTCAGCAATAGCGTGATTTATGAGAATGACTACACGACACGCCCCATTGACTATGCAGCAAGTTCCACAGCATGCTATGTTGGTTGCAGAATGCCGAGATAATCTGTAGAGAGTATCTCTGAGAATCTTCGACAGAAAGAAAATTGGTTGAGTAGCAAGATCACATCTGGATGCTTGTGTGGCGCTTGTATTGATTTGCACGTGTGTGTGTGATGAACGGTTCTTGCATCTGGTGGGACTTGTTCAATATGATGGAACTTATTTTGAAAAACAATAAATAGTTTTTTGGCCTTTGCATAAAGTCAACGGCGTCTAGAGATTAGTAGATTGCACTTACTGATTCCGGCTTGCCCTTATCTGACCGCCACTCCATTTCGCAAGATTGTTAAGGACCTTAATTTGATTTAACTGTCTTCCTAACGATATATATTTGTACAATTTCCAGATTCTTCTTGGTAATATGCACGACTTGCGTTTTGTGCCACGCCAGACCAGCGAATGAGGACTACGCTGAGTACGAGACTGAAGAAGCAGCGGCACCATCTCCTCCAAAGAAAGTACCATCCAGACCGCTCGTCTCCAGGCGGAATCCTCTCACAGCCCGAGCAAACGGAAAAGCTACCACTAGTACTACAACTACAACTGCGACACCACAGGTACGTCACTTTTCAGATAAGTCAATAACATCAGTCTGGTAAGATAAATTAATAGACAAGAAAATCGTTTCTTTAAAATGCGTAAAAAATCTGGAGCTTATGCATTTTTCTACACAGAGGATTTTGACAGCTAACTTTAACAAAACATACTTTTAACGTTTTCTTGTGACAATAAATCTCCAAACAAGTGTAAACATGAGTCAGCTACAAAATCATACAAGCAATAATGTATGAGTAGTTATAGTTTATATGAACTCTACATGTTGGAGGCGTAGTGGAAAAATTGAGGTGTATCCCCAAAATAAAATATTTTAGCAGCTTTTGGAGTAAACATTATCTATATATGATTTATCATGCGCTTGTTCACCCGATTTTATCTTGCAGACTGTTAGCATGAACAATTAGTGTAAGAAATCGGAATTTGAAAGCTATGTTAAAAAAATAAGTTTTAATCAACCGAAAATGTTTATAGCGAATTAAAGCTTATGGGCTCCCAAAAACTGTATTTTTAAAACATTATCATGTATTTAAATAAGTATGCAAAAGTATAGTCTACCAACCATATTCATGAAATAGGATTTAAAGAAATATCTGCAAATATAGCTAGAGTGAATAAGTCACTGATCATTTTATTTTCTACCCCGGCAGTATAAACATTGAAAAATATTTTCGGGCCACCAAAACGGTGAATGAAGTGATTATTTAAAAATGGAAATAAATGATTCCGGTACCTACTAGTAGACTTATCTGCTATTTTCCCTCTACTGTACAAAAGACCCTACACATTTGATGCGCATTCATGAATAACCGAAATTTGAAATAGCAGCCCTTAGAAATTTTATTGTCTTTATAAGCTTTAGATATCAATTATCCTTGCTGAAAATAACAAGGCGTCTAAATAATCTGTTCATGGCTTTGAGTGTAATTATTATTCATATTTACTGAGCATTCTGTAGCAGTTTCATTTTGCTGTGAGAATGAACTACTGGGAATTAACTTTCCTTTGAATATTACGGACAGCGCCCATTTAGGTATGATTCAATCCCTCTCATAGATATCAAGCTCACTTTGTACAGGGTGCGGCAGAGAGGATGGACGGTTTTAAAAAAATCATAAAACAGTTAATTTTTACTCGAAAAGAAATTTATTGATGGAATCAGGTTTACAAGGAAATAGCATTTGAGACAGTCAAGTGTGGAAAATCACATCAGGCATGTGGGGGCCGAAATCGTTGATGCAGTGCTGGAGGCGTTCTTGGAAGTTCCCGTAGACTCTCTCCAACATCGCTCTCTCAACTTGGGCGACTTCCACGCGAATTTCGCCCTTCAATTCGTCCAGAGTTCGGGGCTTGTTCGCGTATACTCTAGCCTTGAGGTGTCCCCATAAGAAAAAATCGCATATGGATACATCTGGGGACCGAGGAGGCCAATGAACATCGCCAAACCTAGAAATAAGGCGACCAGGGAAGAGAGGGCGAATAACGTCCATGGATGCTCGGGCTGTGTGGGCGGTCGCCCCATCCTGCTGGAACCACACACGTCGGATTGGAACACGTCGCCGTCGTAATTCAGGGAGAAAGAAGTTGGTGATCATGTCGACGTAGCGCTCTAAGTTCACGGTAATATCACGACCATTACCGTCTTCGAAGAAGTAAGGGCCAATGATGCAAGTTTGCGATACAGCGCACCAAACCGTTACTTTTGGGCTGTGTCTTTCGTATAACTGTTGCGGATTTTCATTAGCCCAATAATGACAATTCTGCTGGTTAACCATGCTGTTTAGGTGAAAGTGGGCTTCGTCACTCATAAACAAAATGAGGTTCTCATTTTGATCGATCAGTGCTTCCATCTCACGTGCGAAGTTCATTCGTTGTGCATAATCTCCGGGCTGTAACTGTTGCAGAATGGCCAATTTGTAGGGGTGAAAGCGGAGATCCATATGCAAAATTCGCCTTACCGAACGATCTCTACGGCGAAGTGCAGCAGCATGTTTCCGGGCAGATCGAGTCGGACTGCGATGAAAGACCTGTCGAACGCGTTCAACATTTTCAGGAGTTCGAACTGTTCGCGGCGCTCCTCTTGGTCTTCTGTTGATCAGTTCACCATGCCTGCGAAGTGATTCAACCCAACGAAGGATGGTGTTTCGAGAGGGAACAGCTCTATTTCGATGAATGTTGAAGTGGCGACGAAACTCACGCTGTACGACGATGACTGACTCATTATTTCGCACGAAACAATCATAGGCGAAAACGCGGTGCTCCACCGTCCAAGGCTCCATAACGACAACTGGTAAAATAATGCTAGGATCTCACGAGTCAAACGGCACCCTCCCCACCTCTCTCGTAGACGGAGGTGGAGAGTACTACCCATCCCAAAAACGTCCGTGCTCTATGCCGCACCCTGTAGAATGTGCAGAGAAACACTGAATAAACTGCGGCTCCTCTACCCTGAACGATAAAGGGATTACCGACTTGACAAGTATAATCTTAAGGATTGCTAAGTTCATCATGAACGGGGGTGCACAATGAGCCTTAAGGCTGAGTTGCAACTATTAGGGCACTGAACCCTAACCTTCTTGTTATTAAAAAAATAGCTATCGATTGATTTGTCAAAAGAAATACTGAATTATTTTGCTTGTGATTGCAGCTCTGGCCAAAGCTATGTTGCTCTCATCATGAAGATTCAGCTTCACTGAATCGGGTTAGACTGTATTTTTCGCCGAAGGAGAAATCAAAGTTCTTGATCCAAGTGTATTGGTTAATGAATTTAAAAATCGAATTCTAGACTTCCTCCATTGAAGAAAGTTGCTTATTTCAATGCATAAGATGACTACTCCTTCCAGTATGCGTTAGTAGCCCTAATTGCTATATTTGACTCGTCAAACGTTTTAGACGTCCCTCATCCATTACATTTGCTAAACATCACTGGATAACTTAGTATGTTATAATGTATAATATCGATACCATAAACATATATACACACATTTCAAACGTGTTTCTGTGTCTAGGATGAAGAAGAACTGCCTGCCGAGGCAGATTACGAAGAAGAACAACCTCAAGAAACTAGCTCAACCACTGAAGCAGCCAAAAAATTTATTAAAGGGGGTATCATAAGACCAATAAGAACAAATGATGATTTGTTGGCTACATTGAAGAGGAGGAGAGAACAAGCAACTAGTAAGTAATTGTTATAAAGTTACATGTCTTGACATGAAGAAGCTAAGAAAACTTGCATAATGATGACTTGACAGTGACACTTTCGAAGAATTTCTTAATTTAATTGCTTGCGTCAACATCATTTTTATCGATTATGACGATGACAATTGGTTCGTAAAGCGTACTTTCTGACGGGTTTTTAACACGACTGCTATCATTTACGACTTCAAAAGTCTTTGTTTATATTTAACATTATTTCACAACTTGAAAACATCAACATTGTAGCCAGAAAGTGAATCTTCCACGCGTAATTATGGGCAATGTAATATTTTTCGCATATTTCTACACCTACGGTTACTGAGATAATGCAGTGAAAAAATCACCAATTGACAGACTGTGGGAAGTGACTGACTTGATCTTCATAATGACAACATCACAAATCATCAAAAGATATTACATTTTCCATACTTACACGCGGTAGTAAACAATGAATTCGCTTTAAAATGGGATTCTTGGTCATATATACTAAGTGACATATACATCCGAACACCCAGTTTAAATGGTTTTATTTTAATAAAATTTTGTATAAGTACTTAATGAAGTATCATAAGTAAATGATAAAAATTTCAAAATGATTGCACTGCTTTAAAGCCCTTTGACCTTTAATAATGTGTGGATGCACCCTGATGTGCTACGCATTCTCCAACGCGCCTAGGCATGCTTCTGATCAGGTGGTCAATGTCCTACTGTGGTATCTCATTCCAGGCAACCACCAACTCCTCTCGAAGTGCTTCTAGAGTCTGAGGAGGACGTTGCAAATTGAGCAATCTCCTACCCATCATATCCCACACGTGCTCAATTGGGGATATGTCGGGAGATCTTGGTGGCCATGGTAACAATGTGACATCATTATGTTGAAAGAAGTCTATTGTGACTCTTGCAAAATGTGGTCGGGCATTATCTTGCTGGAAAGTTGGATCTGCCAGGGTGTCAAGATAGGGTAAAACATGGGGTTCTAGAACTTCGTGGATATAACGCTGCGCGTTCATGTTACCTCTGATGAAGATTAAAGGTGACCTGGAACCATAAGCTATAGCACCCCAAACCATAACTCCAACAGTGTGATGAACATGTCTTTCAACAAAAAATTGTGGATTCCTCCTTTCACCACGTCGCCTTCTAACCCTGGCACGACCATCGTGCATGCCTAAACAAAATCGAGACTCATCACTAAAGACAATACTGTTCCATTCCTGATCCTAGAGTGACCGTTGTCCGCACCACTCAATGCGATTACGTCGGTGTTCTCGAGTTAAAGGGAGGACCCAGTGTGGCCGGTATGAAAACAAGCCAAAACTTCTCATTCGTCGGTAAACACTTCGCATGCCAATAGGTCTTCCGTGTTCTGCAAACCATTCATTTGCAATGGACCTGGTAGTGGAGAAACGGTCCCTTAAGGCCAATAATCTTAGGCGGCGATCTTCACGGTCTGTTGTTCTACGGCGGCGTCCAGTGCCCCTTGCTCTTTGCGTACGGCCTTCTCGAAGCCATGCCTGACAACACCTGACCACAGTGTCTACACTTCTTTGCACTCTAACGGGAATTGCCCGAAAAGAAAGTCCAGCTTCCCGAAGTCCCCCTATCAAACTCACTAAGTTGACGAAATCGTACGGGTCTCCGTACTCTAGGCATCGTAACCGATCGTAATGGATGTCAAGAACCAAAATCCGCCAACGTTGATTCTTTACTGCGGCTGAAATATTCATTTTTAGAGCGTTAGTGAATTAAAAAAAGCAGTATTAAAACCGGAATGTCCAACTGATAAGGCTGAAAATTTTTTCACTTGTTATTTACAGTAAGATAAATACATTCACCAACTTTTATTAAAATAAAACCATTTAAACTGGGTGTTCGGATTTATATGTCACTTAGTATATAATGATTATGCAGCTATTCCTACGTGAAATATGTATGTGCATAACGTGGACAACGTACGTAGCGGGTAGAATATGTCGCGCGTATAATTATTATTAACCTTTCCTACTTGTAGTGCAAGAACTATCAAGGTGGCAAATTTTATTTCTTACAAAGCATAGTAGTGTTTTATACTCTTAAATTCTTAGTTTCGCCATTATAAGCGAAAGTATAGTGACATGTACATCTCTTTACCCTTTATTTTCTCGTGAGCCTATACGACATTTTTTTTAAAGAAAAATGATAAGAAAATAATTGTTTCCAATACTTTTTTTACATAGAATACTTCATCAGTATCATGAAGCCTATTTGAACTTATCATTGGGGAGGAAACATCTAACGATACCACCAATAATCTACTGTTGCAATTAATGTAGGCTTTTCTTAGACAACATCTCCCTATTTCTTGGCCTGCAAACAGAAATATTTGCTGCCCATTGGGCTGCATATCCAGTGGTAGTTGAGGTGATTGATTATCTTGTGTACGGTGATCGTGATTGAAAGCGGTAGCGTCTTCAAAGACGAGATCGGATTAGCCCAGGGGTTCGGTCTAGTCCTTTAAAGTTTAGTCTTGTGAGACACCTGTCCCTATTATTGCTACCTGGGTGCAGCAGCCGTGTACAAGGTTACAGAGGAGGAAATACATATCTAGCAAAACTAACAGCATTATGAGTAAACAGATATTGTTGACTTGCACAAGCTATCTTGGAATCTAAGCACACTGGGAACTCTCACAGGCGGGGTTATGCAGAAACGGCTGTGATCAGGTTAAGAAGCCCATAGCAGCCTCGGACAAGTGTCGAACGCTGTGGATACTGAACAAAAGTCGAGAGGAGTCGCTCAACCTTGCGGTTACGATTCTCTCAGAACATTGCAACAGACATCTGTCCCTCATGGGAGGATGAAAATATACTACCTGTTCCAGCAGGGAACAAAATCGATGACAAAATATCTTTCATCGACATCTGTGAAATTAACAGCAGTATCGCGCCATGCTTTTATTGATGGAGACCAAATACTTGGATTTGGTCTCGACTAACCATTAAGCTTTTCGAACTAAGAGCTGTTGAAGCGTTGTCATTAGCTAAGGACTAACCCAGGTGATAAGTAACACTGAACCGTTTTAAAAACCTCCGCCGTTGAGAACAGTCAATCTGATATCGAATCTAGAAACAAATGTAACAAAGCTGTTTGCTATGCGAGAGTCCAGTACGATATGAAATTCAGGCAATGTCAGACTGTTATTCTAGCCACTGGCTAAGCAGATTAGAGGAAAGTCCATGGAATGATAGCTATCGACTCCAAGACTAAGGCAGAAGTGCTTGCTCCAGTTCTTGCACGTCTCAGAGATTTGAAAGTTTGCTTCTATTCAGCCCGATCTGTACAATTACAGATCTATAGATCAGCTTTCTGTGACAAGCAAGATGTTGGAGGAGTCTTTAGTGAAATAATTTATGCATCACGGCTTGATTAGCGATAGTCAGTAAAGTTTCCAGCACCAGCGTTCAATGAGGGATCTCATAGCTTATGACACACAGTTGAAAAGTAAATTTATCTAGTCATATGGTGAGGCTCATGTCGCAGCTATTGGCTTTCGCTCAGCTTCCAGAAGCTTTGCAGATGGGTAAAATATCGATCATAATTGACGGGTTCTCCCTTCATCCCACAATGTCAACGTGTGTGTCCTCCAGCGATCGCTACGATCAATGCGATCCACAGCGTTACTGATGGCAGCACTTCACACACAGGTATTCGAAGTACCGAACCAGTCTATGTCGATGAGCAGGAGACAAGAAGACTAGTAGTGACTTTCTTTCCGACGAGAGATCTGAACAGTATCTCTGTTTGGGGACTTGTGCAGTTTAAGCTTCCAAAAGGCAGTACCTTGTACCCATCTCGTCAATCGTGACAGCAGCTTGGAAAAAGTTGTTTTATTTGTTTAGAACTAAGAAATACTTTGCTGCACATAACCTCCTCACGTCCTCAGGCTCCTCATAGCAGTCGCGTGCATCGGTGTTTAGGGAATGCGGTTGCGTCATTATAAAAAAAAAGGTTGGGGAGAAGATGTTTTTGATACAGATCCATCATGCAAAAACTTTTGTCAGATTCAGCATTAAGTTTTAATGATAATTATAGTTTTAGTGTTACTCTAGAAGTGTATAAAAGTTTTTTTAAAACACATAATAATTACAAAATATCACTATCCTGTAGGTAAAGTGAAACCAGCTCAACACCACGAAGAAGAATCACCAGCAGCAACCGCGGAAAAAGAAGCACAAACAACGAAAACAAAATCTTCATCGGCAACAACTGGCGGACGAAGGCGGTTCAATAAGGAAAAGAAAGAAGGTAGCGAGAATTCTGAAGAACCATCATCAACTGCAGCAACTGCAAGAGCGGGAAGAAGGTTCCATGGAAGAAGATAATTGTGATGAGATGTTAGGTTTTTTATTGAAATAAATAGTTTTTATACATTTTCTATAAATGACCATGGATCATACCAAAGCGTAATGCTTACATCTTTCCGTATCTCATAGGAAGAGAAGATGACAACTGTGCCCGAATCTCCCCGCGATTTGAATAGTGGATCAATGCCGCTATTTTTAATAACAAGGGAAATAGAATCTCCAGCTACAAGAGTCTGTTAGGTATTGTATTAACCAAAAACAACCAACGTTTTCGTGCTGGTACATTTGTGCCTAACATTAGCTATATAGTCTACTGGATAGCATATTCCTGACCAAAGGGCGGCTTGTTTAGTTTTGGTAGAAGTAGCTCAAGTTCTATGAAAGGAGTTACTATAATATGATATATTTTGTGTATTGTATCGCTGGGCTAGATGTACGTACGTTTTAACGAAGAAATCTTGCATAGGGTGGATAGGGATATGCGAGCTATACGATGTCATAGAAATTCACACGACAGCTCACCTAGATTATGTGCCCAGGAATGATAAATGTCGGTATGACCTACTCATAGTAAAAGGATAGATCGAGGAAAAACGAGGAATATGGATGGAAAAATAATCAAAAATGAGGAACATTTGACACTAAAAGGCATAGATTTTCAGCAACTCATATGAGATGAGATTTGCAGGTGAAACTGCGAATCTTTGTAAGAGCTGACTGCCAATTTCTTATAGTTTGTAGTAAGTAAACATCTATTCAGTGTTGAGAAATCACGTGTAAAGTGTACTTCAACCTCTAAGATAAATTCTGGAAGCATTTGAGAAATACATTATCTCCAAACCATTTTGTTTAAATTGCAACCAGGTAAGATGCTCGAAGATAAGCAGCTGATCACTGCTGTAAAGAATCATTGATATGAAAAATCCGACATGCATTTTTGGATTTGGTCGGATGTAGTGGCATATTAAAATATTAACTATGTTTTGAGCGAATCGGCCAATATTTAGGTAAACTATTACTTTGTCATGACATACGCAACTGTAGCTTTCTTAAGGGGGATTAGAGTCCTTACATATTGTGAGAGCGCTTCAGGTAATTTATTCATCCCAAAATTTGAAAAGCTATAGATAATTTGCATGTTTCAAGTTTGGAAATTGAGAATGCTTTGGAATTGAATGGTACTGAAGTTTGGTTATAATAGGCCCAAAACATGAATGAATGAAATTTTTTATATGATTTTTTAAACTCGTAGATGGTAGCCTCAACACTTTAAATCCATTTTAATGCTTTAATGTCAACTTCGCATCGAATAGAACAATACACACACACACACAGAATATATGGGAGGAAACGTTAATTTGCCTCTTAAAAACAGGGTAAGTCTTTTGCGATTTACCTGTGTGATACATGTTTTCATCAACTTTCCTCCAATAGTTTTTTGAATCATGTCGCTTCAAAAATACCGAAGAAATTACGAAAGTATAAGCTGTAGTCACCGTTCTTGGCGGTTACGTCATCAACGCCATGTGAAATAAGTAAACAGATCGAGTCTCTCTACCATGAGCGCAGACTAATCTCCAGCGCATCTCCTACTCTCTCCAGTAGGCATGAAGTGGGTAATAGGGGACAGCTGTTGTCATTCTCTTCCTGGAAATACTATAACAAACTTAGCACGAGCCGTCGACCTTCTCCATTGATCGTATTTCTGGGCATTGTACAATTTTATATTGAAGATTGATAACAGGTCAACTTAAATTGCACGCCGGAGTCAAGTGAGTTGTCATTGTGATAAATATGATTGAAGGGCACTCATACGTAACGACAAAGTTTTCGAGACGGAGACACAACTATAAAAAGTATGTCTTTGAGCTTACCGAACAAACGTTTACACACAGGGGTAGGTTGAATGTGTATATATGATGGAGATGGCTGTATGAAAGCAATTTCTGTAGTTTTACTTTGAGCTGCCAAAAACTGTGAAAAGAACCATATTTATCCATCTCTCATATAAAATGTTACGAGCTTTCGTCGGAAAAGCACGCTTATGGTATTTGCAAGCTCTTTAAGGGGTCAACGTTTTTTACACTATTTTTTAGAGCCTATCAATTCCAGACGTCTAAAAATATCCATTTATAATGTATTTCTTTTGATTCAATAAGTTGATAACTTAAAACTAATTAAATTTCATAGGATAAGCACAAAAAAGTTAGTTGTCGGTATTTAGGGACAAAATCAATCAAAATTAAAATAAAATCCCCCGAAAAGTTGTCAAATTCGCATTTGTAGATTCACCTATTTTTTGAGGTATGTTGACTATTTGCATAATACCTAGATAGGCATGCCACCTCCGTGATTTTTTTGGTCCACAAATCTGCAAAGGATATTATACGATCGTAAGAGAAGTTTGTTGCTCATTTGTAAAATCTCTCTCGCACAGAGTATGTTACATCATGTCGAAAACCTTTGTAAGCTATAAAGAACAACTATATGGGTTTCTCTGAAGATATTGAACATGAGTATGAATAATTTTATGGTAAGTGTCAATGTCTATTTCTTACTGACTCAAAGTTCAAGCTTATGTAAAAAGTAAATGAAATGTTTTTTCTCAGAAGTTTCTAATTTATTTAGTTATAGTGTATTGCGCCCCCGGATGTGTTTCAGGAACACCACAATAGCGAACGCCTGAATCGTGACGCTCCTGACAGCGCCAGCTCTTCACTTATCACCGGTGGCCCAGTAGAGTCTGAATTTGTTCTGTCACAAGAGCTCTTTAGGCGTAAGCTCAGGTTTTGGTTAGGGCCTAAGATATTTTAGATCCGCCAACTGAACTACATAACTGTACTAAATTTCAACGGGTAGTTAGACAATTCAAAAGCGTAAGCTTAGAGCGTTGATGCAGTGCACTGATTGGCAAGTATGGACGCGCCCGTTAAAAAAAGGACAGGTCTGGATCGGTGCTTCATTTGTCTGTAGATGTTGTACGCGGATATAACATGCTAAGGATTTGTCGCTGTGTGAGGAATTGTTATTTTTGTTGTTGTTGCTGATCTTGTTCTTATTGCTCCTATTCTATCTAGCTTCCTAGGTATCCGGACTGTATTATACAGGAGATGTTCGCTAAAGATACTGCTAATGAACTAATGCACACGACATTAAGTCCACAGATGAAGAATTTATATAAGAAACACTTAGAGGTGGGACTGGAAGAAGTGACTTTGAACGTATGTAAATACAAAACGCAGAATAAAATGGATGCTGTTATTGAAAGCATTTTGGGCGAGATTGAGGTAAACATTGGTGTAGGGATATAGAGCTCTGCGTAGGTACATGAGTCACTCACATGCTGCATCTTCGTTAAACTAAAACCGCAAGAGCTGGATTGACTTTATAGATACTGGCGATAAAAACGGAATTATCAGAAAAGTCTATCAGCTCGTCCTTAGAATTGAAATATCCACCATCGATAAAGTGCTCCACGAACTTAATGACGACGATGCATTACTTAACTTCCATCAAGTAACGTTTTATAAGTAGTTGAAGCTCATTCACTTTGTGCTCAAAAAACGAAGGCGTCAAAGTTCATCTAGAAAAATATCTTTTAGGGTCGAGTGCAGGCCTGGCTACGGTTTCATAGTGTAGGAACCACAGGTCCAATAGCGGAAAGCTAGATGCAAGTCCCTGTGACTGATTAAAGGGTCAAGGCTGGACACAGTTCCTTATAAAGTATATATGGAGGTCACAATAGATCCATTTGGGCCGCAGTGTGGTTGAGGATAGCAAGCCAACAACTTTCTTCTGTAATCGTAAATACAGGGTGGCCCATAAGTCCTTTGAGCTGGAGAAAAAGGAATAAAACCAAACTAGTTACATTATGAAGAATTATTATATTTTGTTATCATCTTTATTGAATGGGACTTATGTTTTAAAAATCACATCTTCTAAATGCAATCCATTACGATCACGGCACTCATATAAACGACGTCTAAAATTGTCGATGACTGCGCGGCAAGTCAACACTGTAATGCTTGCCATTTCTCTTCGGATATTTTCTTTCAGGACATCAACTGATCGCGGAGTGGTGTCGTACACTTTACTCTTGAGGTAGCCCCATAAAAAAAAGTCCATTGGGGTCAAATCTGGACTACGTGGTGGCCAGGAAATGTCTCCTCTTCGAGAAATTACTTTGCTGGTAAAAAGTTGACAGACGACGGGTATAGAACTGTTGGAGGTGTGGGCAGTCGCTCCGTCCTGTTGAAACCAGGTCTGCGTATTATAGCCTGGAAAATTCTGCAACGCTTGTGTCAAAAACTCTTCTATCATTGCTACATACCGCTCCGAAGTAACAGTTAATGCGCGACCTCTGTCGTCCTCAAAAAATAAGGGCCTACGATGCCATGCGCTGACATAGCAGCCCAAACTGTAACTTTAGGGCTGTGTAAGGGCTTCTGATGCTTACGCCTTGGATTTTCGGGGCTCCAATAACGGCAATTTTGTTTATTTACATGCCTGTTTAAATGGAACTGAGCCTCGTCCGAGAACAACACATTATTGAGCGAAGAAAATCGATTCAACATTTCATTCGCAAAGTTTAGTCTCTGAATAGCGTCATTATCTTTTAATTTCTGCACTAACTGAATTTTGTAAGCGTGCAGACGTAAATCTTTCCTTAAAATCCGCTGTAAAGATGTTCTGGGTACGTTTAGTGCACTGGAACGCTTACGAGTAGACTGGGTAGGATTTTGACGAACAGACTGTGCCACAATGTCGACCCCACCGCTGTTTATCTAACGTCGAACCAGTCTCTTCGAACTTAGCAACCCAGTTCTTAATCGTTTGAGCTGTTGGACACTTTGTAAAATTGTGTAAATTGTGGTATTCTCGATATTTACGCCGCGCAATGGATGCCGAATCATTATTTTGATAAAACGCGCGCACACAAAAAGCACGATCCGCTCCAGTGAAACACTCCATGGCGACTGAATTCCCAGACACTGAAGATACTGCCCCCACCTCGCCCGCGCCGCTCACGCTCACCCGTTAAATTTTATTCAAATTTGAAATTTCAAAGGACTTATGGACCACCCTGTATATTATTTGGATAAAATTTGGATCAATGCACACACGCAATCTAAGGGTTCGGTGGATATCGGCGGGCTATCCTGGAGGGACTTTCTTACGTTTTGAGAAACTCTTCAGGACACGGAAAAAGGTTGACCATATGCCATATCGATAGTGAAGACAGATTACCACGAAGAGATGAGTATCCCTGAATTTGAGGAATAGTTAAGAAATACTTTGCCCGAGCTGAATGATAATTGTGTTACTATACTTGACAATGCGTTATATCGTTCTCGACGATTAGATGAAGAGTACCGACAACTGCTTCAGTAGGCTGAGATACAAAATTGGCTGCCACTGAAATAAACATTGAATCTTTGCTGAAAGTGGAGCTACTTCAAATCGTAAACGACAACAAGTCACAGTATAAGTAATATATGTTTGATGAAATTGCCAGAGAGGTCAAGACTAGTGCAATTTTCGTTGCTAAATGAATGTACATCTATATAAATTTGTCAATTAAATTTGTATTCCAACTTTTTTTGATATCAACCTTTGACATTTATTTTTTGCCTGATATTTATTTTCTTGAAACTATTTCCACACTGATTTGTGTGAACACTATTACTGTTTTTATTCCCGACTCTTTGCTACATAACTGAACTCAGTCCAAAGCTTGAGCCAACATGTAAGGTTCTTAGAGAGAAGCATAACGGGTACCCATTGATTAACTTAGAATAAGTGCTGGATTTCCTTAAAAACCGGCAATGTGTTCTTATCACTGAATACGGATCCGCGCAGTCTGGCTAGGCCCCCCATGCCTGATGTTGTTTATATTTAGTGCCCCTAAAAGAAGAATTTGGTAAAGTCTCCCAAGTTAATGATGTAGACATATTGTCAGCCCTGTTGTAGAAGATGTTCTCACAGAAGATATAGAAAGCCCCGGAGGTTTACAATGTGCGTTAGTGTTTTTGTATATATACAGAGCTAGGGAAGGACAGTCTCTAGGGGAAGAATTTGCAGACCATTCTAATATTTTGAAGAACAGAAAAACAGAACCAAGGTTTGTGTTTTTATACCACATATTTGAGCTAGGGGAACATATTACTTGCAATTACCCCTTGATCCCTGCTAGGTACACACTTGCAAATAATAAGAGATGATACCCATTCGTGTTTAAGAACTGAGCGCACTTGTGCCCTCATTAACATTTTCACTGCAACGCCAATGATCGAATTCGTCCTTCAGAATTACCAGAAACACATTATATTCGTAAAACCCCGCAATAATGTACCAATCAAGCTCAAATAGTCGATGATACTTTCTATAATTTGCATACGGAATCCCCTTCACTTTCGTGAATACTTTTCTGGTTATTGGACGTCTTCGCACACTGGACAGACAACATTTTTGGTGTGGCCTTGGGACCGTGGGCGATGCTTATAATCAAAAATGCAATTTTACACGAGCTTTTTTGTTTTACGTGCTTGGAAAGGGAAACTTTTTATTCAAAATTATATCAATGATACTGAAGAATAGTTTTCTACTCTCAGATGTTTGCAAATTTTGCTTACACCTCTTGTTGAGGAAAATTAGGCCTAATTTTGCTCGCTGGTCAACTGAGGAATAAGAAGTCATTCATCAAGTAATGGATCTAATGGATACAGCAAGAAATTATTTGCATCAAGCAATTCTTCATAAATAACCTATTTATATAAGCCCGCGGTCAGTTGACCCGCGAGTCAAAACCCAATCAGGAGGCAGTTTTGAAGTGATGACTCTAATGGATGTAGCTGACTTCTGTTAAAATACGTTTCAAGCTAGCAAAAAATTATACGATTTGTATAAGAGAGGCCTATAGTCACCATATTAAATCTTAAAATTCTTTATATCACCTGGTTCAGCTATAAAAACTAATTTTGTTATTGAACGTAGAGGCAAAATTTTCTTGCTTCAAAATGGGGATTGAAGGCCCTTCTTACACAAATCGTATAACTGCTTGCTACTTTCAGAGACATTTTGGAAGAAATCGACTATATTCGTTAGATCCAAACGCTATCTGGATGGTCAACTTCGACTCGCGAATTTATAGTGAAATCGTGCCGTACTGATTTAAAAGAGTTCAAAATCTATAGAACATATCTCATTTCAGTTTCTGATATTAGTTGTGTCGAAAAGCTAGGTCAAGACTGTTCTATGTTCAACCTTTTCAGAAAAAAAAAGTAATATAGGCTTATTTGCTACTAAACGATTAATCCATACATTTTTACCCTCTTATACCAAAACATTACACTATAGTCCTGTTCAGTTAAGTACTTTTACATAATATGAACGTTGCTGTAAAAATGGTAACCGCAAAAAGTGCGTCTGGGATCAAAATAGTTGTATGATAAATCTATTGGTCGAATGGTCTCTGAAGGTAGTAGTTGGTAAGCTGAATCGCTAACTAAAGATAGGTTTGATGCTAGAACAATAAATCAAGACCAGAAGCGTCACTGTCAGGAAATAATGCTTATGCGATTTGCTTCTGAATCCCGTAATCAGTAATGGGATGGTCCTAGGTGAAGATCAGTCTTCTTCTCCAACAATCAGGTAGCTCAAACAAAACACAAAAAAGTATTCAAACCTCATCAACTCCACGTCAGAACAAACATGATCACCGCTTCTTTTCGCTTGACGCTGCCTGGTCAAGCATTTATAGCCTCCTGGCTAAAAGGGGCGAGCGCGTTGGTGTTTGTTTTGACAGGGGGTTTATGAGATTCAAATAAACCATAAGTGTATGCAGAGTGACTTCGACGACTATTTTACAAAATAGGAAGGCTACAATGCCACACCCCTTGCTCACTTATTTGTGTATCTCTGTATGCTAGGACACTCGGTTAAAATCTTAGTGGACCTACATTTCAAATTAACCACACATGTTCTATTCGGTATTCCTTTGAATGTGCAATTTCCTTCTTGTCAGGGCGGTAAGAAATCTATAGCGTTTCTTACTATTTAGTGATATCGTATCCATAAATGGAAAATCTGTTTTTTCAACGTGCCAACGGTTAATGGACATACCACAGACGACAGGCAGACTGATAAAAATGAGTGACGGTTCTACATGATATACATAAAAAAACTATACCTACTATTTCGAATTTTTCGCAGTAGCAATGGGGTCAAAGCAAACAAAATGTGACTTTTACACCACAGCAGCAGCGCAGGCACGAAAGCCTAAATTCAGGACCGCGGCTTTGCTAATCCGATTTTTGAACTGCCTAAGGTTAGTAGAACTGGAAAAGCCTCCCCATGTAGATTGCTCCACAATCTCGATATCCTAGGCACAAGTAGCGGTCGTATGGGCCAGTTCTGGATGTACGAAGTTCGACACGGCCTTTCGGTGTGAGAGGATCCCGAGGCTGTCCATTAGAGAAGAGTCATCAATGTCAGACAGCTCTCCTCTGAACAGCTTTGAGCATGGATAACGTAGTTGGGGCGACAGCAGTCCAAATATGTGAGCGATACTCGAGGCTAGGTGTTATCTGGGCCTTGTACAATGTGAGGAGGTCATGTGGAAAAAAGTACCTCTTAGGCCCGTATCGTCAGTCGTCTCTACAATTGTCATAGTTTTCTACTTCTCCCTGTCAGCGCTCTATTTTAAGGTTATCTCACAAACATCTATTTGCATCAAATTGTGCTTGCTTTTGAGTTATATCATGTTTTATCAGCCTGAAATTTCCTACAATTTAAAAAGAAAACATATCTTCACAATAGGAGAGCGCTGACGCTGACACGGGACAAGTGTAATCTAGAAATTTTCGAAGGAGGGAAAGGAGTATGACAATCAAGGAGGCCATAAGCGCGCCCTACAATTGTAGGGACGACTGACGATATGGGCCTTAGCCCTAAACAAATAGCCTGTCCATTAGAGAAGAGTCATCAATGTCAGACAGCTCTCCTCTGAACAGCTTTGAGCATGGATAACGTAGTTGGGGCGACAGCAGTCCAAATATGTGAGCGATACTCGAGGCTAGGTGTTATCTGGGCCTTGTACAATGTGAGGAGGTCATGTGGAAAAAAGTACCTCTTAGGCCCGTATCGTCAGTCGTCTCTACAATTGTCATAGTTTTCTACTTCTCCCTGTCAGCGCTCTATTTTAAGGTTATCTCACAAACATCTATTTGCATCAAATTGTGCTTGATCCCTGAGGAATACCCGCGCTGACGATGTGAGATGAAGAGATAGACGGGGGCCAGAGAGAAAGTCAGCCACCTATCTTCAAATCTTCTCTGGAAGGCCATAGGATGGAAATTTGGATTGGAGGGCAGCATAGCTGATCGAATGCTTTCGTGATATCAAGAGCAACGACATGCTCCACTATAAAACTGGATGAGTCGACTCCACACTTGCGTGACGTAAGCTAGGAGGCGTCCTGTGGATCGTTGACGCAGGAAACCATAGGTACTGCTTGTCGCTAATCAAGCGGACGTTCGAGGTATTCCAGAAGCTCCCGATATATGGACCAATCGACGTTGATTCCTAATAAAAAATTATTCATCTACGACATTGTGGATTATCCAGAATGTCACAATATTCTGCACTTTTTTTTTTGTAAATCTGTTCAAAAAGTCAAACTAGATAAAATCAAATGTTAAACACTTCGGCTTCGAGATTTTATATTCTTCGTGTACTTTCTCTGTAACAATGCTGCATATATTTGCTGCAACATGTAAAAAACAATGCGTCATTGCCATTTGATGTAGGTTGGATGCTATTTTGCAAGATCTTAGAACTTGTTGTGTGAATGGTCATTGGTTAATTATACTTTACATTTAGTCATAGATAATTTATCATAATGGCCGCTAGCAGAGGATACAGATATTTTTAAGCATATGTACACATCGTCGGTCTCCGCAGGTACCGGCGTAACTAACATTATACAAATTTTACAGGAGAGCTAGAAAACGAAAATCAGCAATAAATGAGATTGAAAGTGACACTGATTTTTCAGTCTGAACGTTACTGTTTATTTTTGTTAGACTAAAGTTTTAACGCAGAGGCGTAAATCTATTTAAGCCGGTACGTGAAAATTGTTTTCGCAATTTTATAACTTAGTCAATGTTCTGAAAATTTTAATTCTTAGCAGCGGACTGATATACAGCTACGTCACTTCGTGAAGTAAGAGGCTACAAAAAAATCTGTGATATTACGGCGTAACTCGATTTTAGATGATTTATCATTTACGCCCGTACGTGCGGAGACCGACGATATGTTCTTTTAAATTAGATGGAATATGATGCAAACAATAGTTTATTCTTCAATAAAATTGATTTTAGAGCATAAAGATGCTTCTTTTTTTAATTCTGGCTCAAAATTACTCATTTTCATATTCGCTGCATCACCACAGTGATGACAACCAACTATGAAACTTTCTTGTCAGTGTCAGAAACGGCCGCCATTTTGGCGGAAAAAATTGTATGAAAATTCCCCTACTACAACGATGAAAGAGGTTTTAATATTCAGCAGCAGCCGGTTAATTCTGAGAGAAAGTGGATGTATTCTCAATCTTGTGGGACCTGTATTCCTGAACAGTGACAGAAGTGTCACGTCCCACTTATTCTAGAGAGGTAAATTGAGGAAGCATCGCCGTCGTCTATCAGTCTCATTTCTATAGATGAGCTTTGTGATGGAATATTTTGTAATATGAAAAATCTAACAATATACAGGGTGCGGCAGAGAGGAGGGACGTTTTTGGGATGGGTAGTACTCTCCGCCTCCGTCTACGAGAGAGGTGGGGAGTGTGCCGTTTGACTCGTGAGATCCCAGCATTATTTTACCACTTGTCCTTATGGAGCCTTGGACGGTGGAGCACCACGTTTTCGCCTATGATTGTTTCGTCCGAAATAATGAGTCAGTCATCGTCGTACAGCGTGAGTTTCGTCGCCACTTCAACATTCAACGGAATAGAGCTGTTCCCTCTTGAAACAACATCCTTCGTTGGGTTGAATCACTTCGCAGGCGTGGCGAACTGATCAACAGAAGACCAAGAGGAGCGCCGCGTATAGTTCGAACTCCTGAAAACGTTGAACGCGTTCGACAGGTCTTTCTTCGCAGTCCGACTCGATCTGCCCGGAAACATGCTTCTGCAGTTCGACTTAGTGATCATTCGGTAAGGCGAATTTTGCATATGGGTCTCCGCTTTCACCCTACAAATTGGCCATTGTGCAACGGTTACAGCCCGGAGGTTATGCACAACGAATGAACTTCGCTCGTGAGATGGAAGCACTGATCGATCAAAATGAGAACCTCCCCAGATTTATCCATATGCGATTTTTTCTTATGGGGACACCTCAAGGCTAGCGTATACGCGAACAAGCCCCGAACTCTGGACGAATTGAAGGGCGAAATTCGCGTGGAAGTCGCCCAAGTTGAGAGAGCGATGTTGGAGAGAGTCTACGCGAACTTCCAAGAACGCCTCCAGCACTGCATCAACGATTTCGGCCACCACATGCCTGATGTGATTTTCCACACTTAACTGTCTCAAATGCTATTTCCTTGTGAACCTGATTCCATCAATAAATTTGTTTTCGAGTAAAAATTAACTATTTTATGATTTTTTTAAAACCGTTTATCCTTACCATTTATTTTGCTGAAAATGAATGGATTTTTTACAAATTTGTTTGACAGGTGTCAGCATCCGCCAGAATTTGGGATCATTCGCCAGGGAGCATTCTATTCAAGTGCATTCAAGAATTGACCCTCCATAGGCCAATTCTTGAAAACAAGAGAGTAGAATAACCAATACCTGAACCTGCTGATTGTTCTACTTCCTTGTTTTCAAGAATTGTGCTCCTGGTATCGACAAGTTTCCAGACTTTGTAATCAAGCGACACTCTTTTTGAATATACCGAGGTAAGTTACATAAAGTATTTATGTAATTTTTCATGAGCCAGACCTTCCACTGGAGTCGAGTTGATCAGTCATTTCGGATGGTCCCATAAGAAATAACCTAGGGCGTTTGAATCAGATTTTCCAGTATGCTTCTGTCACGCGCAAACTACACTGAAGTTGCAGTATTAACCAAGGTGCAGCAGAATCTTGAAGGATATCATATGAGATGGCACATATAGGTCCTTCACAGTTTTTGGCGGTTACGCCATGTTAGGAATTGCACACTGATCTTAAGAGCAGTAGTTGTTCTTGCTCACATGGATTGATTAATAAAGGATCATTGCTTTCATTCACTTTCTCAACATGTTCTACCCATGTCAAGTGGGTTTCCTCACTTACAGTGATAAGCATAGATTAGAAATACGTTGACGGAAAAAATTTGAGGCGATGAGAGACATATGTCTGAGCTTACATAAACAAAAGATTGTTTTTGTTTATCAAGGGTCTTCACATATCAAGTTAATTAATATGCTCTTTTAGAAATTCTTTTTGCTTTTCGAAATAATGCGGATTGTCAAAACTTCCACAGAATCAACCGATGAACCTTGGCTTTATATTCTAGTAACGTCATGTGTATCAAGTGCTGCCAGTATTAAAGGCGCGAGCTCATTGCAGGGAGAGGGCAATGTCACAACTCTCGACAAATGGCTGTTGATTCATATTTTCGCGCATCATAAATTGCCTTCCTTCCGTGCACCTTATGAACGTTCTTCAGGACACGATTTCACGTATGTGATCCCTCGTAAGCGAAGGTATGACTAGAAGGCTACACGTCTCGCATCCGCATAGAAACTGATGCAAGATACGCGGTACGAATGTACGGTCTGCGTCTGGATCGGAACAATGGCGTTTGTGCATTAGCTTGTCCAGCGGCACAAACGTGTAATATTTGTTAATATAGCAACCGTGTGGTTAATTTCAAAGTTGTAACCAGCAGAAAAATTCAAAGGAAAGTAAGTAAACAGGGCGGCCTTGGGCACATGCATAGTATTAAACGACTGCTACACGAGACAATTCGTTGGTATTTCTTGCGTTCAGACATTATATATTGCAGACTATTGAAATGTTTTATAGAGGGGTTGGTTACCTCTATTGGTTAGTCTTATACACAGCGTTTTAATAAATATCCAAATAACATATATGGGTCATTGTCAAATTTCGCGCAGGTAACCGTGACTAAAAATAATGAATCTTAAAAAAAATAAAAATACCTAGTATAACTTTTCTTAGTTTCCATACATGGAAAAATAACTGAATTTTGTATGTTACAGTCGGCCGCGATGTTTAACTAATAATTTAAGATTTATTCCAGGTTTTTTGGGTGAGAGACCAAAAAAATTACAACTCTGTTATCATAACGTTTCAACTTTTATTATGAAATTAAACAATTCAGTCCCAAATATTTTTGCATTAATGTTAATTATAGGCCATTGGCCTAGAATCACATTTGAAATCACACCATTTTTTTGAAGTTTAATAGCAGTATATTTAAATTCTAAACAACTCTAACTTCTTGAACTTTAATAGACGTTAAATTCTATCTAAGTACTATCTAAGTACTCTAAATATTTATATATTAACGGCTAACTTCAACATATGAATGTATAAATATCTAACAATTTAACTTACTGTTATATTACTATATTATATTAACATTAACATTTCATACAAATATTTTGATATTTGGGACAGGAAAGTAACAGAGTTGTAACATAGTGGTTTTTCTGTATCTTACTTGAATAAACTGCACTCTGTTGAGTTTGAGATTTTGAAAACATAAACATAAGTAATGTTGATAAACTTTGTGACTGGTATTCACCAATCTACAATTAACTTAAGAAAAACTGAAATCAAATATTCTTGAAGGAGTAACTGGAAGGTCTAACTTGCTTATTTCTCAAATATGTCCAAAGCACTATCAAAATGGTAGTATGTTCTTTTACCTTTATAGATTTTTTTAGGTTCTGGAACAATAACAACTAAATCATCAAAATGCATATAAGAAACATCGTACTCAACTAAGTTAAGTTTTGTTGCAGTATGATTTATTGACTTTAAAAACATAATTTTAACCTCGCCATCTTCTTCTACTTCAGATAAAGCCCTACCCACATACACGTAGTTGTGTTTTAAGCTGGAAATTTTAACTCAGACACAAACACCTTGTTTTATTTTATTAATGTGAATATTTTCCTTCTCAATTAAGGAATCGTCATTTCCTTTGCTTGAGATGGCTTGTACTAAAAAATAAGCGCTAGGATTTTTTCTTAATGATATAAGAGGGGCATCGTCATCGGAGTCTGACAGTAGATAGTGTTGTAAAAGCCTTTTCCTCGTTTTCGAGAAAGGTTGCTTACATCGGAGAGAAAATTGTTGTCGCAAATGGATGGACGTGATTGATCCGATACAATTTTTAATGGAATATACTCGTAGTACTTGGGGTTTAGGCAAGAGCAGAAGCCGCGCTGACAGAAACAACTGAAATTCATATACTTTAGAATTCCAGCCTCTTCAGTGAAAACTTGGTGGACTTTCAATGTAAGTAATAGTGGCACGATATGCTCCGGGATCTGAGTTAAACTCTGTTCAATATCCTTATCGGTTATCAGATGCAGCCTCACTTCACTAACATCTTTCAAAGCAAGATAGAAATGTTTTGCATCAGATATGTACTACCACGTGCAACAAGCTGATCAGATACTGTACAAAACGCCTATAGATCACTCCAGTATGCAAGGATACTTGATTTCGGGGGAGCCTCCAAAATGATGGGATTGTACCTCTTCATAACATTTACAACTATAGTTTTCGCTAAAGTCAATGTGCAGTGCAATCTCATTGATAGACAAGTCAACTATGCATTGTCTATAGTTTCTGTACTGTGTTTTAATGTAATATACATGCCTTTTAAATTCCTTAAGTGTGATTTTAAACTTATCTATCAAAGCCTTTCCTGTACTCTCTACCTCCTCTTTGATGCTTTTTGTTACCTTTATTTTTTTTCCTGACTTCTCTATCACTTCAGTTTTAGTTAACCATTGAGGATATTTCAGTATCACTTCTTTTTTTGAAGTATCATAAATAGTTGTTTTTAATTGACATACAGAACATGCCTATGTCATACATGTTTGTGATTCTGGATCGCATGCTTGGCTTACAATAATCTTGTTAAGATCTGAGGTTGGCATAATTTTGTTTTTACACGAAGCAATTGCTAGGTACTGGATGTTGATATGAATTCGACACAAACATGTCTTGCAGCAACAGTTGGAAGTAAAGCATAAAATGACCTGTTTCGTGTAAAAGTATTGTAACTACATTTCAAGTTAGCATTTTCACGTTGACAAGATAGATAAAGGTTTTTCATAGTATCGAGTAAGTAGCGCTTTTGCATTCTATTTTTCTTTAAAGTAACGGTTTATTTTTTCCTGCAGTCGCTCTTGATATATCGTCACGTTAAAAAAAAATCCTCAATTTTGGTACTTAAAACAGTTTTCTTAAGCAGAGGCGGTTTTTTTCGTATGTAGCCTTGCCTCACAGAAAGACATTCTTGGATGATCTGTGCTTTCTGCCTAGAACATTTAACATACTTTCCTTCGAATATCTTCTGAATAGCACATTTTTCCTTCAGATTTTTCAAATTTTCGTATCGTTTTTTAATAGCATTTAATAGGATCTCATACTTCTGTTGATATGCACGACCACATCTTCAATTTCAGATCTCTTCTTTTATTCTCTATTGTATCTTTTTTATACTTTTCGTATCTCTTGTTCATTGCTTCGAGTTATTCCTTTAATTTTATGTTATCTCTAAATAACTTCGATCTGTTTCTTTTTACTTGCTTTCTGCCGCGAGATGCTGGTGGTGAAATGGAGCCAGGAATATTTGCACGGAAAGTAAACAGCTGGGGCGTAGACAAACGATGATCAGTATTTGGAGTAACTTGATCTTGATCTGAGGGGGCTCGATCATTTAAACGAGGAGGTGATGACTCTGGAGTGTGCATAAAAATACGAAGCGCTCTAAAGTTATCTCTTCGCCTAGCGTTTGCAGTTCGCCATTTCTTTTTTAATGCTCGATGTTCACGTGTTGCAAGTCTCGTACTAAGCGTTTGTCAGTATGGTATCTCTTTCGATCTTTTCTCTTAGCTTCTGCTTCCTTTTCTGGATGATATTTACGTCGTTCTCGATATCGTTGCTGTTTCTCAGCAGGCGTGAGAGGCATCTTGAAATATCAAAAACACAGTATTCTGAAACAATGTTTTTAAGCTTATAAAATACACCGTAGGCCCGATCAATCCAAAAAAATTTTTCATCATCGTTCCTGATCTCTAATTTGAGTAAAAAATATAACATATGGTCCGTAAACGGTTAGTTTTTAAGATACTCATTACTTTTATAAATTTACAAGTTGAAAATTTAAGTTCAAAGTTACATAATACAGACGAATTCGGCTCTGTTACTTTCTTAACAACTCTGTTATCACGCGCTAGTAACAGAGTTGTTTGTGTAGTAACAGAGTAGTAAATTTTACATGATATCGCACATATGTCAAATAGTGAAGCGTCTAGTACTTTTTTGCTTTCATATTTAGAATATTTGCTTCTTTAACAATATACAGAACCTAAAATAATGAAGAATACGTAAATTTACTTACGTAAACAGGTGGGTAACAAAGTGGATGCACAATAAAAACACGCACCCTCTTCTACGCTTCGCAGCCGACTTAAATCTTAAATCTCCTGTACCCTTCACCCCGATCAACCAGCGTTAATCTAGGATAACTTGTGCAAGCTAATAAAAAGTATTAGTAGCGCCATCTCTATTTTAAGTTGCGATTTATTGGGTAACATAGGATTCCATACACTTCCACACGTTACGCGTAACCAAGTTTGAAAAAACAATTATTGAGTAAATTTTGATACTTATGGCTTTTCAGAAATATTCTATAAATACTAACAATATTCTGTTGATGGTAACAATTCATAAGGTTGGTTTATACAGTAGAAAATGAAATTCTTCGATCTCTATTTTCACGGAGTGCTATCAGGACATCCAAAGTTTGGAGGGAAAACCACTCTGTTACCAAATATTACCACAATGTTACTAAGGCCCGTGTCGTCAGTCGTCCCTACAATTGTAAGGCGCCTTTATGGCCTCCTTGATTGTCATAGTTTTCTACTTCTTCGTGTCAGAACTCTATTTTGAGGTCACAAACATCTATTTGCATCAAATTGTGCTTGCTTTTGAGTTATATCATGTTTTATCAGCCTGAAATTTCCTACAATTTAAAAAGAAAACATATCTTCACAATAGGAGAGCGCTGACGCTGACACGGGACAAATGTAATCTAGAAATTTTTGAAGGAGAGAAAGGAGTATGACAATCAAGGAGGCCATAAACGCGCCCTACAATTGTTTATGGCCTCCTTGATTGTCATAGTTTTCTAGTTCTCCGTGTCAGAGCTCTATTTTGAGGTTATGTCACAAACATATATTTGCATCAAATTGTGCTTGATTTTGAGTTATATCATCACATATCTTAACAATAGGAGAGCGCTGACGCTGACACGGGACGAGTGTAATCTAGAAATGTTTGAAGGAGAGAAAAGAGTATGACAATCAAGGAGGCCATAAAGGCGCCCTACAATATACATAGTTTTCTACTTCTCCGTGTCAGCGCTCTATTTTGAGGTTATGTCACAAACATCTACATGTATTTGCATCAAATAGTGCTTGCTTTTGAGTTATAT